ATACAACATAAAATGCACTCAGTTCATACATGGAAAAGATTCTAGATCAACGTCATAAATAAAAAAGAGGGGAGAATGAAAAATAATTCTGTGAATTTAGAGAAAAACTAAATTCAGTGTATTTAGATGAAAGAGGCTTAGCCTGTGTACACATCTTATTTTCTAGCTCAGACTTTTTTTTTAGTTGTGTGGTTAAAAACCTTGTTGGTTTGTTCATATATTCATTCATTCAATTATTCATTCATTCATTCAACAGTGACTTATTAAGTTCTTATTATATAGCAGGTGAAGTTCCAGGTTCTCACAGAACTTATGTACTAGGGAAAGAAGACAGATACTTATCAAATAAGAAAACAAATTTAATTCCATATTTAAACCTGGAAGTTCTAAATGTCAAGCAAAATATCTGAAAGAGTTGTGGTCTTGACCAAGCTTTAATATTCTTCATATAAATTATTTAACATCAATCTAGACAGACCTAGGGAACATTAATTCTTGCAAAATTTCAGAATTTCATATAGACACAGATTTGAGTGAGAAATTACAAATGGGACAGATAAAGAACATGGCTTTCCAGTAGGATTATATTTTTATTGAACTGAAAGATGATTGACCCAGATTTTACCAAAGCAAATTAAATATTGGACATTTGTTCTAATACCATAAAAAATGCATTTTCTAAATGAAGTTTATAAAATAAAATAGCTTTTTACCTATTTGGTGGATTAGAAATATTAGTTTCTCATGGAGTGACACATTTTGTCATTCTCACAAGATCTCTCTGAGATGGGTCTCTGAAGCAGAGCCCACGTGCACAGGAACACCAGGGATCCTGCTTGCTAACTGCTGGGCCTCTGCCAGATGCAGGGACCTTACTAAGGGCTTTAGACTCATGGCCTCACTTAACCCTTACAAACAACCTGACCAGGCAGGTAGGAGATGGACAGAAACAGAGAGTTGAGTAATTTGCCCTAGGTTGACTCAGCTAGTAGGTCAGTAGGTCTAGATTTGGATTTAGGTCCAACTCTAGAGTCCATAAACACTCAATCACTTCACTGGGGCTGCTCTCTCAGTTGAGAAATGTCATTTAAACTTGAATCTGAATCAAGAGTGTTATGGTCCATTTGGCTGTTATCCCTAAAGCAAAGTGCTCAGGTCCTCTGGATAAACTCCAGGGCATTTGAAGGGCTCCTTTTGAGAGTGCCCATTTTTCCTTCAGAATGAGCAATGCTATAATTGACATATTTATGTATATGTTTCTTTGCGCAAGAGTTTTTCTATGGTAGGTATCTATCTATCCATGTGAGTTAATAAATTCTAGCTGATGTAACCCAAGTTCAGATAAATGCTGAAATCACTGTGGCTTACGTAATGGAAGTTTATTTCTTGCTTATGTAAAGTCCAAGTACATGTTTGAGGTAGGTGTGAGTAAGGGGGTAGACAGCTCTGTCCCATGGAACCTTTCAGAGACCTAGGCTGCAGGAGATCTTGCCTCCTGTCAAGGTTAGCCTATTCTTCAACATCCAGCCAATAACAGAGAAAGAGAGAGTGCAAAACGTGTACTAGCTTTTTAAGCTCTGGCCCAGAAATGACACACATTTTGTCCACTCAACTTCCATTGGTGAGAACCAGTGCACCTAAATGCATCCTGGCTAGGATATATTGCCCCTGGTTAGGCAGCCTCATTTCCCACACTACTCTATCTTCGGAAGGTGAAATAAATGTTTGGAGGATGGCTGACCATCTCTGCTACAACACCTAAAAGTAGTGTTGCTGGTTCTTTAAAAAAAGAGGTTTGGGTTTTTTCCCTTTCATTCAAGTCATATTTATTGAAGGTCTACACTGACCCAGACATAATGCTAGGGATGAAGGGATGCCAGTGAGAACAAAATTAACATAACCTTGTTCTTCCCAGAAATTTAATGTAGTAAATGAGACATATACCAAACAATGCCATTATGATACAGTGTGAAAATATTATAATAAGAGGATTTTAAGATGCAAAATTAAGATCACATAAAAGGGTCATTCAAATCAGACTTGAAAGGTTTGGAAGGTTTAGGATGAACCCTCGAGTTTTGCGTTGGCATTAGTCTGCTGAAGTACAGGTTGGGGAAAAGGGAGGATGAAGAGGACAAAGGAAGCGTGAACAGCATTACAGATGCTGGAAGGCAGGAGAAAGCATGGCGTCAGAGAACCTGTAGGAGCCCAAAGGACTCAACACCTGGTTGGATTTTGAGATAAATGTGAAAATGAAAGCATCAGTACTGATGCTTTGTTTGTAGCTTGGATAAATGGCGGTTTGAAGATAAAGATGACAGATTTGATCTTAAATAATTTGAATTTGTAGTATATGTTTAACATCCAAATGGAGGTGTCTAAGAATTTTGTGGCTATATGAGTCTTAAATATGGGGGAAAGATAGAGGTTAAATCTAATATATGGATATGGAAATAATAAACACCATGATGAAATTCCAACCTGTGATGTAATGATATTGTACAGAACAAGAAGAGAATAAGACAGGAAGAACCCAGAGTAACAGCAACATGAAAAGAAAAGGCAGAAGTAAAGGAGGTAAAAGGATTTTGTGTTTGCCAGAACTTTCAATTTCTTAGCAGAAATAACCTTCTGATCTGGTTAGGGCTATTAGAAATGATCTATAATTGCACAAAGTATTCCCTTTCATTGCCATCTTTCCCTCTGCACCTCTCTTCAAAAAAAGAGAGTTATTTACTCCAAGGTTTTTATTCTCTAGACTTTTCTTTGTACTAAGGATGGTGTTATAGGCTCGTGAGTCTTGGTAGCAGCAGAAATACATAGAATTACAGGTAGCTTTTCTCTCTTGCCATCATATTTGGTAGCATGATGAAAGAGAACCATTGTTAGTTGTAAATTATTGGTAGCTGGTCTTGGGGGGGGCGGGGAGTGACACAGCATATTTCATTTATTGTCACTTTCCTGAACTTTGAGACTTTGAGAGATCCTTTGATTACAGCCATGCTTAGTAACTACATCAGGAAAAAATTTTTGTAAACTTTAAAGGAATGGACCAGAAGATCAGATTGTACCAAATGTTAGGCCAGCATCCATTCCAAGGACATGTTTTCTGAGGTCAGGAAAGCTAAAGAACCACTTGGGGCAGGGCAGAGGAGGAGCTTGGCTGCCACCCCATCCTTCAAAAATTCCAGGCTACTTTCAGACCATGTGCCCTCTGGTCACGAACTCTGATTGAAATAGGAAATAGAATTCTATCAAAGGCACTTGGGAATAACATAAAACCAACCCTGCATGTATTTAGGATCAATAAGTAAAGATCAGTGCCAAGAGGAGAGAAAATATTTGGGAAAAGCAAAGCTTATAGTCTTTCTTTTAAAACCAGGTTTTAAATATACAAAATAAAAAACCATCAATAAAAATATGTCACGTTTAGCAAAGTACCCTTCCATATCCTAAATAGTATTTCCTATAGAAAGGTAAAACTGTTGGCTAATAGAAAATGCTGCTACATTATCTAATTACTTTAGAGTTGACAATGAGATGAGACTGGAGGAAATAGAGTAATTAGAGTATAGCTGAGAAATTATCAGGTTCTCAGTCAATATTCTGCAGTCATCAAAAAGAATAATCGTTTGTGCTGTTATAGAATAGCCTCTAAGATGTATAAACAGTGTATATAGCATATAAATATTTGTGTAGCAATAGGAGAAAAATATAAATTCACACACAGGTATTTGCTTGCATAGGAAAGAATATCTCTGTTTTTAAAAATAAACTACCCTGCCTTGGCCAGATGGCTCAGTTGATTGGAGCATTGTCCTGTATACCAAAAGGTTGCAAGTTCCATCCCCAGGTGCTTATGGGAGGCAACTGATCAATGTTTCTCTCACATCTTTCTCCACCCCCTTCCTCTCTCTAAAAAAAAATATTAAAAATTAATGTCCTGATAGGCATTCTCAGTGGTTAGAGCATTAGCCCTCACTCCAAAGGGTTTCGGGTTTGATTCCTGACTAAGGGCATGAACCTGGGTTGCAGGTTCAATCCCTGACCTTGGTCAGGGCACAACCGACACATGTGTCTCTCTCATACAATATTTCTCTCTCCCTCTCTCTCTCCCTTCTGTCCCTCCTTCCCTTCCACTTTTTTCTAAAAATCAATGGAAAAAATATCCTCCGGTGAGGATTACCAAACAATAAATTAATTAATAAAAAAATATCTTTGGATGTGGGTTAAAAGATAATAATAAATAAGTATATTTCTAGGTATTCTATTTGGGGCACAGTTCTCTGGACTGCATAGGGCCATCTTGCCAGCTTTACAGAGCTGTTTCTTTGCCATCCTCACCTAAAGGGCAGCATATGAGAACCATGGGGGAGGAGAGCGGTGGCAGTGTCCTCTAGTGATTCTGAGACGTCCCCCCATCTACCACCCAAACTCACTCAGCCACCCTTGGGGAACAAATAGTTCTAAATAAAGACCCAAATCAGTGCCCATTGGCCACGATAACCTTCCACTCAAGAGAGAAATGAAAACAAATCGAAAGTTTCATCATATTTTTTATGATGTCCTAAAAGGAAGAACATTGCCATAATAATTTTTATAATTTATGATCCTAGTATAATATAACTGTGACATATCTGGTACACTTTCCAAAAATTCCTGTGGGTTTTGCCTTAAATTTTTGGTTTTCCTGCAGATTTACTAATCAACTTTATCAAAAGGAAATTCGTGACATAGCTAAATGCTAAGAGACCAGGGAACAAAATTAGGGCTGGAAATAGTGACCTGGTTTCACTAGATGTTGCAGGAAAAGTGCTGATTTATAGGTCACTGTTTTTTTTCTACCAGGAGAATCTGACTAAATTGGGTTACAGCCTGCAGGTTCTTCACCTGTCTGTCACATAAATAAAATTTCCCAAGAGTGCCCTTGCAGCCCGACTCACTGACTGACTGGCACAAAGACATTTCAGCCCGTGCAAACTTCTGTTTGTTTGTTTCAGGAGAAACTCGGTTCTTTCAAATGGATGTGGTATTAAAGTTTGTTCAAAGCCAAAGGTGAGTGAGAAACTAGTCTCTAAAAGGATCTTTCCATGTCTAAGATTCTAGAATTCTGTGATTGTAGGTTACAGAATAGAAATTAATGAGATGTGTCCCACATAAATGAGCAGATCTAGGATTAGAATTATGTCATAACTTGAAGACAATCCAGAATTTATTTTTAGGGAACATGAATCTTTATAGGTTCTTGATTTCAGAAACAAAACCCACTCTAGCTAGTTTAAGGGAAAGAATATCATTTTATTAAAGGTTTTAAGTAGTTCTAAGAATCTCAGTGAGGGCCAGAGAACCAACCTCAACCATGGATGTTCTGAGACCAGGAGCCACATACAGTTACACGCAGGATGGCTCCAGGGACATTGCACTGTCCCTAGGCACAGACACCCCGCTCTGACCACTGGAGGGGGACCCTCTGGCAGTGGTCTCTGGAAGGTGCCGCCGGTCCCTCTACCTGCCACGATGGATTCTTTGAGGTACCTCACTCACTTCCGCATGGGCAGAACCTGGACTCTCTATACTCAAATCTAAGATGTCGAGAGGGTTTCTGGCTTCTTTGGCCAGCAGACTCTCTGAAATTAGGACATTGTCCAAATAAAAAATGAAGCCCACGGTAAAGGGTGGTCAAAAAGCATCTGACAAATGCCACTTCAATGGCATTGAAGTAGTATAGCCTCGGCTTCCTCTAGATGCCTGGAGAGACCAGTCACACCTTTCCTGGGGCATTAATGCCCGATGGGGCAGACTCTTGACCAGTGGGAGACCGGGAGTGGAAAAGAGCTGGCAGATAGACTCCTTTCCCTTCCTCTCTCCTGGGCCACCTTGAGAAGCAGGACCTTATTTGGTCTGACTGCACGCACCCCATGAGCTGGAGTATTAACCACACTTGCTGCCAATAACAGACAGACTCAAGCCTCCCTCACGCTGGCCCGGCCTCACGCTTCCCTCAGGCTTGCTTCTCTGGGATCGCACCGCCCTGAAAAGTGGCAGCTCAGAAGCGGCTCCCTTAGGCTCTGGTTTCTAACAGAAGCCAGGCTACAGGAGCCTCTTATTACAGATGCCACATATTCTCACTAGATCTTTGCCTGGTTTCTATGACCAGCTTCAGTTGTTTTCCCTAGAAAACTAGTATTGGAAACTCATGCAGGTTTATAAACCTGCACTTGCCATGACTGTGACTCATGTTGAAAACTTTTCTACTGTCTCTAACTAATTTTTTGCCTCCTATTAAAAAAATAAAATTATTTAATGGGGGAATTGGGATGTGAGAGTGGAGGTGAAGGAACTAACTTGTCAATTCTCAGGATCACTAAGAGTCTCCTAGCCTCTAGCTGGACTGGCTCCACGCTCTGTGAGAGCATGATGACTTTCTCCTAGTTCCCCAAACATGACTTTGTGTCCGTTTCTCTGTGCCCTCCCTCAGGTTATTTTCTCTTCTAAGCAACTGTTTGACCTTCCCTTATTACTACAATTAAATGCTTTTTGTCCTTGAAAACCAAGCTCCGGTGTCTCCTCTTTAAGCTCTCATGAGGACGCCCAGCCCCAACTCTAATTTATGTTGAGCTGTGCATTCCTGTAATACCCTGTGCATTGTATTTATATGCGCCACACTGGACTTCAGTTATTAGTCCACTGGCATGTCTCATTTGGTTTTACAGCCCTGGCTTTAAGCAGCGTAACTGGTACATAATGATTATTCAATAGAAAGCTATTGAATGAATGATAGTTGTGAAATAACTGACGATTCCAGCAAGGGTCCCTGTGCCGTGTTGTGGCAGTACCTGGAGAAATCCCCTATGCAAATGGTTTCTTGGGTGGAAAAGCTGTTCCACCCTTCTACCCACCTGTGAGATAATCAGTAATGGCACTGAAAAATATGCAACATATGCAAAGGTTTGTTGGTACATTTGAGGATCTGAAAGAAGCCCAGGGTAGCTGGAGAACCAAGAGAGGAAGTGAAGAAGGCAAGAAAGGTGGTCAGGGCCAGATCAGACAAGGTTTGCGGGTCATTTAAGGAGTCTGGTCACACACATTAGGGAACAATAGGTTACAGAAGTCTGAATGAGATTGTTGGTAAAAATTCGTTCATGAATTAGAAGTTACTCGTCTTTATTATTTTGGTTTACATTCTGGTAAGTAGTTGAGGTTTGTTTTTTTAACTGTTTATATTATATAGAAATTGATAGTATTAAAATATTCTAACAACTTGAACTATGAGGAACTCTTAGATTTAGTTTAAAATTTGGGAAACTGAATCTACTTAAGAGACTAAATGTCAGTTGACTATATTTGAGAGTCTATGAGAGTAAATGTTTTTATTTATCTGCCAAGGATTCAACTGGTAAATGCTTTCTTATGCCTACTGCTGATATAACAAGAACGTTCTAATTTTCATGCATAAAAGATTAAAGTTCTTTTATTTTGCAAAAAATCAAATATAGACTGTACAGTTGTTTATTGTTTCTCAGATGACATCTGGTGGATAAAAATAGAAATGCAGTTTTATATTGTTTAAGAAAAGTGAGGTTCTCAAATTCCATGGTAGAAAATCATTTAAAAATATGAGATGAGCCCGGCTGGCATGGCTCAGCGGTTGAGCATTGACCTATGAACCAGGAGGTCACGGTTGAATTCCTGGTCAGGGCACATGCCCGGGTTGGGGGCTCCAACCCCAGTGTGGGGCAGCCAATTCATGATTCTTTCTCATCATTGATGTTTCTCTCTCTCTCTCTCCCTCTCCCTTCCTCTTTGAAATCAATAAAAATATATATTTTTAAAATAATAAAATAAAAATATGAGATGAGTCGGTTGGAGATTAATTTTGCTTATCATTTTGGTATTATGGCATTATGGTGATAGAGAGAACACTCCAGTGCTCTCCTGGATTTGGCAGGCTTTGAGTTCTGCTCAAACCTCTGACAGTAAAGAGCTAAATGACTTGATTAGCTACAGACAAACAAGAATCAGATGATATTGGATTTCTCAGTAGCAATACTAAAAAAAAAGAGACAACAGAACAATATCTTCAGCATTCTGAGGGAAATTTTCTTTCTATCTTGAGTTTTCTATTGAGTCAAACTGTCCTGTTGTGAGCTAAATAATTTTAAACATGCATGAAACTTAACCTTTCAGAAGTCCTCTTTGGGTTGCTAATTTATTTTTTATTTATTTTTAATATTTTTATTGATTTTTAGAGAGAGAGGAAGGGAAATGGACAAAGAGAAACATCGATGTGAGAGATTGATTAGCTGCCTTCTGCCTGCCCCCTACTGAATATTGAGCCTGAAACCCATATATGCTCTGATTAGGAATCTAACCAGCAACTTTTTGGTACATGGGATGATGCCCAACCAACTGAGCCACATCTACTAGGGCTGGATTGCTAATTTAAAATTTTATCTTTGTCAAATACTAGGTTTCAGTTTATTTATAAGTATTTCCATTTTTGCTATTGCAATTTGGGCCTTTTTTTTTAAAGGTATAATTGACATATAGTCATTATGTTTTCTAACTGGTTGTTGTTTGTATAGATGAAGGCAATTGATTTTTACACACTAATTTGATACCATCCATCTCAAGTTATAATTGAGTTCCTTGGTTTTCCAGGTACACAATTATCTGTAAGCAGTATTAAATGTCCTCTTCTTCCAGTGTTTATACCTCTTATGTCCTTCTCTTGCCTAATTCCATTGGAAAACCTCCAGAACTATGCTAAATAATAGACTGTAGACATAATTATCTTGCTGTAGATTTTAATGGGAATGTGTCTCAGGTTTACTCATTAAACATAATGCTTTTAAAAATTACCTATCTTCCCTGTTTTATGGAGATTTTTTAAAGTCAAATATGGATGTTGAAATTTATCAAATGCCTTTCCAGCATATTTGGATAAAATCTTACAATTTTTTTCTTGTAATCTATTTTATCAGCCAGGGTTCAGTTGCAGAAAACAGAAAGGGATTTAATGCCGGAAATGAAAATCAGTGAAGACCAGGAGGAGGAGGCTAACTCCCAGAATAACTCCCAGAACCACACTGCAGCACTGGCCCACCAAGAGACCCGCTCCCTCCCTCTGCTACAGTCAAGATGTCAGACTCACACCCACCCATTAGCTCCAGGAGCACACCATCTTGATGTGATCTAGGAATGAGAAGTTGCCACCAGAATTCTTAGCTCCAGCAAAACACTCCTTCTGATCTATCACCTCTGGATCAGGACACTGATGCTAGAACTGTCAGCTCCAGAGTTTCATCACACCTGCTACACCTCAGCAAAATGAATGCCTCAGGCATCACCTTTCCTCCTATTTCATTGAGTTTGAAATCAAGTTTCACAGGAATGCATCCTATTGGCAAAACGTATTTACATTGAGGGTCCTAGTTGCAAGGGAGCCTGGGAAACAAGAATCCTGAGTTTCCCAGCCTCTCTAATATAGGATGACACACTAAAAACAGATAAGAATAGATGCTGGATGAGCCAACTGACTGTACCCAACCACTTCCCAACATAGTGAATAATATGGAAACATTCTTAGGATCCTATGGAGAAAAGTATTTTTCTTTTCATTCCTCAGAGATGCTGCTAGATTTCATTTGCTAAAACTTCAGTAAACGTTTTTTGCATCAATATTCATAATTGATTTTTGTCAGGAATTTTGTGTGCAATTACTGTCAGTTTTGAGTAAGAAGCATATGTCACTTTTATTATTATAATCCGGAATTTTCTTCATTTTGTCTCTGTTCTAGAACAATTTTAAAAACATTAGAGCCTACTTATCCCATAATATTTGGTAAAATTAACCTGTGAAGCCCTCTGGGCCTGGTGGTCTTTGGGAGCCTATCATTTTGACAACTTTTTCCTTCTTCTTTAATGTTTAATGTTTGAATTTTTAATTTACCAATTTTGAAAAATTGTCTTTTCTTAGAAAAAATTTTTTATTTAGATTTTCACATTTCTTTGCAGACAATTGAGCAAAGTAGTCTTATAAATTCTTTTTTGTGTTTTTTTAATGTTATTTGTGCTGCCTTAATTTTATTTTTTTTAAAATATATTTTATTGATTTTTTACAAAGAGGAAGAGAGAGAGAGAGAGAGTTAGAAACATCGATGAGAGAGAAACATCGATCAGCTGCCTCCTGCACATCTCCCACTGGGGATGTGCCCACAACCCGGGTACATGCCCTTGACCGGAATCGAACCTGGGACCTTTCAGTCCGCAGGCCAACACTCTATCCACTGAGCCAAACCGGTTTTGGCAATTTTAATTCTTGATCAGTTTAGCTAGTGGATTTATCTATCTTAATTTGTTAAATTTATTCATTGAAATCACCATTTATCTGTTTTTTATTTTATATTTTTAGCTTTAACACTTCTTAATTCATGTTTCCTTCATTCCTTTGTTTGTTTGTTGATTTCCTCCTAAGCTGGGTGGTTAATTCATTTATTTTTATTCTTTCTTATTTATTAATGTAATTATTGAAATGCTAATTTTCTTGTGCGGATTGCTTTAGCTATAATCTATGGATACTAATATGTAATGTCACCAATGTTTTCTAACTCAATTGCAGTTTTATTTTTTATATCCTCTTTGACTCTAGAGTTTTAAAATTCCAGGTAATTCGGTCTTTTTGTCTTCTCAATTAGTTTGCTTGTGACCAGAGAATTATATCTGCATTATTTCTGCTGTTTGGCATTTACTGAGGACTTGTGGCCTAAATATATGGCCATTTTTTTGTGAATGTTTCATGAATATTAAAAAAGAAGGTATAGTCCCTGTTTTCAATGAATATAGTTCAATATGTTAGATCTATCTTATCAATTTAGATTTACCTTATAAAATATGTCATTTAATCCGCTCTGTCTTGAGAGCCCCCCCTTATTCTGCCCTTCTCCGGGTAGTCTCCCCATGGCTTGGCAGCCTTAAGAGGTAGAGCAGTTCTACAATCTGTCTGACAGCTATGATTCCAAGCTCTGCCAAGAGAGTGAACATCCTGCCTCCCAAACTAAGAACCAGTCCTTGCAGAAATACTGATAGGAAATAGATCTACAAGAACTAGTCCTTATCTCTCACTCATTTACACTTACCAGCAGTCACATCAAGAACACACTTGAGCCCTGACTGGTTTGGCTCAGTGGATAGAGTGTCAGCCTGCAGACTCAAGGGTCCCAGGTTCGATTCTGGTCAGGGGCATGTACCTTGGTTGCGGGCACATCCCCAGTGGGGAGTGTGCAGGGGGCAGCTGATCGGTGTTTCTCTCTCATTGATGTTTCTCACTCTCTATCCTTCTCCCTTCCTCTTTGTAAAAAATCAATAAAAAATATATTAAAACACACACACACACACACACACACACACACACTTGAATTTACAAATTTGCCAAAACCAAAACCTTTTCTTTCTTGTTTTTCCTTTCATTTTTGATCCCACCAAAGTTTCTACCAGATACTTCCCTCAGACTGCTCTCTAACACCATCTGTGCAGTCTCTCAATACTGCCTACTTCCAAGCTCAAATCAGAGTAGTATTTCCACTTCCATGTACTTCCCTGTCCTTGGCAACCTGGTTTGGTATCTGCAGTCTATCCCTGGTAATGGTTCTAATACTTGTTGATTTTTTTTGCCAGTGTGAGCAAGCCATAAAATATTTCTGTGCTCCAAATTATGTCCATCACTAGACATTTACTATTTGTTATATTTTATAGGTATCAGTTAATGTTAAGCTGGCAGTGTCAGGATTATCTCAGCAAAAATACAAAAAGCAATGCTTTTAAAAAAGTGTTGGTTGTTTTTCTCAAATAAAAAGAAGACCAGAGATAGCCAGTGTAACTGCTCAAATCTATATACTTAAAAGCCTAAGTGACTGTACCATCAAATGACTGGAACGACCAGAACAACCAGTCGACCAGTTGCTATGACACGCACTGACCATCAGGGGGCAGATGCTCAATGCGGGAGCTGCCCCCTGGTGATCAGTGCACTCCCACAGCCAACCTCCTGCAGCCCCTCCCATAGCCATGGCCCTGATCAGGGGACCGGCTGGCCACCCTCCCGTGGTCCCTCCCCGCTACTGGCCAGCCCCCCAAAAGGCCTCAATCTCCGGCCAGGCTGACGGACCCTACCCATCACCCATGCACGAATTCATGCACTGGGCCTCTAGTTAATACATAATAATTGTAAAAACAAACAAACAAACAAACTCCAACATTACAAAAGTCCCAACCACTCATTGTTTTCTTTATTAGTTTCTTGATGTATAGCTTATTAACTTGCACTTTTATGTGTAGGGATCTGTCTTTTTAATTTAAATTCTCAAGCAAGAATCAATACTTAATAGAAAAGTTATTTTGTTCTTATGAATATGTAGATGATATGACAGTTTAATTTTCTATTTAACTATAAAAGAATGACCTTCTAATAACTTTTTCTGAAATTAATTTTTTTAAGTATATTTTATTGATTTTTTACAGAGAGGAAGGGAGAGAGATAGAGAGTTAGAAACATCGATGAGAGAGAAACATCGACCAGTTGCCTCCTGCACATCTCCTACTGGGGATGTGCCCGCAACCCAGGCATATGCCCCTGACCGGAATCAAACCTGGGACCTTTCAGTCCGCAGGCTGACGCTCTATCCACTGAGCCAAACCAGTTCCGGCATGAAATTAATTTTTAAATGATAGGTTCATGTTCATCAAATGAGTTGGAATTCTCAGGGAAAAGTGCTCTATTGGGTCTAAGTGGTGTCGTCATAAAACTATCAACCACACTGAAGATTTTTCATTTTCCCAAGGCTGATCTAAGGAAGGTAAACCTGGGACTACCTACAAATGACAACAACCATTCAAACATGATTGATTGTCTTCTTTATTTTCTACTGGCATCCAGGGGGAAAAAATAAAAAGAGAAAACACTGAAATTGAACACAAATACAATCGAAAGGACCCAACTATATACAAATTGATTTTATAACCACACAGAGAAAAGACAGATTTCAGAAAACTTTTGACCATCACACTCTTCCTGGATATGCTGTCCAGGAGATATTCCAAGGATGAGAAGAACTGCAAAATGCTCTTAAACTTCCCTTAATAAGTTTACTGTTAGTGGTCATATTAGAATTGTAATTTGAAACTACCTAATTGTGTGAGAAAAAGCAAATAAGTAAATATGCTGATATTCTAAGGAACCCAGATTTTCAGTGTAAGAGAAAAGAAATGCAAATATATAAGATATTAAGGAAAGACAAAAGCCTCAAGTCCTGATGCATTCCGGTCTCTCGTATCTGACAGTGTGGGGCATGCTCTGTTTCTTTATTTAAAAAGTGAAATATAGTTTTTGTTCAAGTTCATCAACAAAACTTTTTCATTTAGATTCAGTCTCACCAGCACTTAGTAGGAACCTAGAAAGAAGTTCTATTATGTAAAATATTTATATATCTAAGATAGATACAGATATTTCTATATATGTCAAGAATACATTTCAGTATGAGAATGAAAAACAATGCATTTTTCTGGTGGTCAGGGAGAGGTTAGGTGTAGAAAGATTTTGCTGAGAAGGCTATACCCCCCCCCCCCCCCCAAGCCGCCCCCAGCAACTCAGAGCCAAGACAGGACTCTACCCAAACCTGCGCCCCAGCCAGGCCCCGCCCCTCGTCCGGACCCAGGCCCCGCCCCCGCGCTTCCGGGCCCGCCCCGCGCTCCAGGTTCCCCCCGCGCTCCGGGCCCCGCCCCGCATCCACGCCCGGCCCAGCATCCCGACGGAGCCTGGAAGCCCAGCGGCTTCGTGCAGCGTCTGCCTTGCCGGGAGGGTCCCGGCGCCTGAGCCCGCAGGTCGGGGTGGTCGCCGCGGCCGGAGCGGCTCGGCGAGAAAAGATGGCTGCCCTGACGACGGTTGTGGTGGCCGCAGCGGCCACCGCGGTAGCCGGGGCGGTGGCGGGGGCGGGCGCGGCCGCCGGGAACGGCGTGGGAGCAGCGCCGGTGCCGCAACAGGTAAAGGGAGGAGGGCCGGAACCGCTGTGGGGGCGGCGGTGAGCCCGAAGCGGTGTCTGAACAGGTGTCTGCAGCGCGGCCCGGGAGGGGTGCGCCTCCCGTGGCTCCAGGCCTGGCCCGGCCCCGGCGTTGCGCTTTGTTCGCCTGTGCGTTTCACTGCTTTTCACCGAGAGCCACCTCCTCTCCGCGACTCGGATTCTTCCCTAAAAAATTGCAGCTGGTGGTGTGCACCTGCCCGAGCCGTGGCCGCCGTGTGTGGGAGCCCCCCGCACAGTGCTTGGTGGAGAGGGACTGTGTGCCGGGTAAGGGATCGGTGGCTGCTCTGTTATTGTACCTGCCGGGGAGGGTGCGCGGCAGATGTGTTTCCAGAGATCAGTGCGGGACCCGTTTCTCCACCGTGCGGACCGGAGGGTCCCTCCAGGGGGAGTGTTGGCTCCTCTCATTCCCTCACAGCCCACAGCTGAGCACGGGCAGTTCCTGTCTGTCCCACCTCCAGGATAAATCCGGAAGAAATCCACCTCCTCTCGCCACTACCCTTGTCCACACCGTCGTTTCCCCCTGGCTGAACTGCTTTCCTCCTTGGTTTCTGTTCTCCCACGCTTGCCTTTCCAAAGTATTCTCAACGCCAGGGCGACTCGGTCCAGTAATGACACCCCTCTGTCCAGAAGCCTCCAGAGCTGATCTTGTTCACAACAAAAGCCAACATCCTTACCCGGCGAGGAGCTGCCCCGCCCTCGCCCCACCTCCTTGTCGCTGCATCTCCAGCGCCCTGTGTGGCCATCCTGGCTCCCGGTGGTCACTCAGACATGCCAACACTCTCCTACCTCGGGGCTTTGAAATTGCTATTCCCTCTGCTCAGAATGCTCTTCCCCATGCTTAGCACTGTCACCAGGTATCTTTGTTCAAATGCCATCGGCTCAATGATTCTTTATATGCCCTCCCCAAACTGAATTCCCTTATCCAGCACAACCCGTCCCTTTTTCTGGTTTTCTTTTTCTTCATAGCACTTATTACCGTGATATATTACATATTTTATACCTATTTTTTAAAAATGTCTTTCTCCATATACCATCCACCCTTAGGAGTGTAAACTTTGTAAGGGCAGAAACTTTTATTCACTATTGTGTTCCCAGCACCAAGACCTGTGCCTGTTTAGTCCTGGAGCATAGTAGGTGCTCACTAAATATTTGTGGGTCAGTCCAAACGGAGGGAAGGCTGTTGTGAGCTGAGAACATGTTCCATCTTTTTCTTCCTCTAAGGGGAGGGATGGGAAAGGCCATATAAGGCCGGAGAAATCATTTGCTCTGGCCCTGCCAAGGCATTAAGGGTGAGTTAGTTAAATGTTTGACCAAATATAGCAAGCTGTTTTGTAAGTTGATAATTTTGTATGGCCCGTGAATGATGTTATACATATCCAAATGGCCCTTGGCAGGAAAAAAGTTTCCCACCCAGGTTCTAAGGAAATACAGTGTCTTATATAAATTCAAGAAATTCCATCTCAGACACATTTTCTCACACATCCTTTATAATTCTCTTTATATTCTAACTCTGGCCCAAATGACTCAGGAAAAAATATAAAATATATAAAAATTCATAATCCTATATAATAAAAGGCTAATATGCAAATTGACCGAACTGAGGAACGACTGGTCACTATGATGCGCACTGACCACCAGGGGGCAGACACCCAATGCAGGAGCTGCCCCCTGGTGGTCTGCACTCCCATAAGGGAGCTCCGCTCAGCCAGAAGCTGGAGTCATGGCTGGGGAGTGCAGCGGCAGTGGCGGGAGCCTCTCTCGCCTCTGTAGCAGCGCTAAGGATGTCCTGACTGATGGCTCCCAGACTGCGAGAGGGTGCAGGCCGGGCTGAGGCACCCCCCCCCCCCCCAGTGCATGAATTTCATGCGCCAAGGCCTCTAGTATGTAAAAATATTTTTTAAACACTTTAAAAATATTTTTTTTAAATGTATGACCCTTATGGTTTAGCCATCATGCTGGCTTTCTCCATAAAACTTTTCTGTCTT